TTTGTTCACTCTTTCGAGCTCTACATGTTTCTAGGGTAGATTTTGGAGTTGATTTCGCATTTAGAAACCGTTTGAACATTTATGTAAGAAGTAGTTTTGGTTCCCTCGTAACATGTGACCTCACCTGACCTGACCTGGCCTAAATGCACGAAAACATCATCTGTGATCAAAACTAACTTGAAATTCGTGATCAGCACCCCGCAAAACCCTATAACAGCTTCACTTTACGAAGCTTTAGCAGGTCCCGATTCCCCGACTTTTGAGTTTGACCTGTCAACTTTGACAACTTAGTCAACTTAGACTTTTGACCTGTCAACCAATGACCTAGGACCTTAAAATTGGGTATCATCGGCCTCCTCTCGTCACGGGCAACACGCTCTTTTTCCGCGAAGCTCTAGCTCGATCAGGGGTTGAGCGGCAAAGGGGTCCAACGGACCCTCCTCCCCCCTTTACGATAGACGCTGGCAAAACACCAATATGGGCGAGGATGAAAATACAGCTGCTGTCATAAAAATTCAGCTTGAATCAAAGGTCAGGCTTGCCAAATTTCAGCTCTCGCAGCTATCAATAAAAATAAACATGTGGAGGCGGCACCCGCCACCCCGCACCCGCCTCCCCCCTCTCAGCCACTGCCAGCGAGGTTTTAAGCGTATCATACACGTTACAAAGCATCATATCAAGATGACACACCCCAGCAGCCATATGCACTGAACATTTGAACAAAAACTTATTACGCACGCTAGTCTATCGGCACCATAGCACATGGTATGGTCGAGACTGTCGTCAGCCACGGACGCGCACTCGACCAACCCTCTGAGCCCGTTGACTGCGGGTGACCTTGACATGTCAAGCCTGATCGGCCGCCGGCCGCTGTCGTGCGATCGTTACACGCGGAGGGGAGGGAGGCACAAAGCTCTACGTTATAGCTGACCTCTGACCTTTCCCTGCGCCCTGGTCACTGACCCCGCTCCATGTCGCTGGGCGGTGGCATGGCGGTGGAAACCGGTTCTAGCCTCTACACATGCCACCATTCTAACCCTCCCCTCCCCACGCTACTACGCGGCGTGGAGTACGCTCGTGCGTGACTGGGCGGAGCAAGGGGTCACGCGATACAGGGGCGGAACTGGTTGCCCTCCCGCCCGCCGAGCGACCAACGACTAATACCCTGGAGAACCGTACATATACACTTGGCTTTTTACAGTTTAACATTGAATTGAATACAGTTCACCATTGAAGAAGAGAGCGGTGGACGTCTCCTGTTCTTAGACGTGTTGATCATGCGAAGTGACGATGAATTGAAATTCAAGGTCCACACATTTGAAAAATTCATTGTCATTATCTTGAAAATCTTACCATTTAGGTCTTAGCATTGTCAATGCACTTCCCCGTTAGCCGCACAACTCAAGTTCCACCCAAAAGTAGTTGGTATCAGTAGACTGCGCCTTGCAATGTCAAATGCAACTAAACATGTGAACAGAGTGACACATTTATTTAAAATCTTGAGTCCTATGGGCCTACCCTTTCTCCTTCCAGCATTTCTGCAAGCACATTCGAAAATGACCTTTCATCGTTATTTCCACTTCCGTGCGATCAATGAACTTGTAAGCTAACCACTAGTTAATACACTATCATCTTACTGTTGGTTGCTTGTAGCAACTACATAGATAACATAAAACGAAAAAAAAATTAACACAACACCAAAACACCAATCTTGTTGATTCCTTTTGGTTCTGCCTGGTGACGAAGGCCCTTTCTTTACGCGATATCGATATTCCTCTTCTAATCTTGAAGCCCAGGTGCTTTACCAATTGACCATAAATGATACTAATTCATTATATCAATTGAGAAGCGCAAATCATGGTAATTAGAGTTGCAAAATTTCCCTACCGCACTACCGGCATGCCGGTAATTTTTCACTACCGCAGGTTTTTTCGTGGTATCTGGCATGTCTTGCCGGTAGCATGCCGGTATTTTTTATTTTGCACCAAAAAAATTATCAGCATATGATTCAAACTTTGGACACTAAGAGGCTATTGAATTGTAATAACAGCAATCTTAGCCACTGCAAAATACATTTTGTGGTAGAAGTTCCATTGCTAAGGGTAGGGGTAACACATGAACCTCAGCATTTCACAGGTTTGGCTCTAATTAGAATTGTCAAGAATCTACTATGGTCTATCAAAGGAAGACAAAGAATACTCATTCATGTTGCAAAAGCATAACCAATTAGTAAGTCTGATGGTAGGTAATAGGCATAATACAATAACTAAAATAAATAAATGTTCATGGCAACATTCCCTAGGCAAAAGGCAGAATAAAAACAACACAAAACACATTGTTTGGAAACTGGCCTTGAGTCCTGAGATGTGGTCTGAGATACTCTACAAAGAATTTGACACTGAAAATCCAGCTGAAAAGGCAGGTGTTAGGTAACCCTGAGCCTAACGTTGGTCCCAAAATGAAATGAAAATGAATTAAACTGGCATTCTGTCTTATCTTTACGTTTACAAGCAATACAACATGCAGACGAAATGAATGCAAAGTGGCGCAATGTGGCGCAATGGCGACCAAGGATTGGCTTTTAAGATCCTCTGTCCCCCTAATGAAAGGATGTAAGCTGATGACGTAATATTTATTCATATGCCCTTTTGGTTGAATCACTCAAGAGAAATCTTGAGTGATTCAACCAGTGAATCACTCAAGTAGTGATTTGTACTTTTCTTGTAGTGAATAACACTCACAGTGTTGATTTCATTGGAATTCAATATCGTGTTGGATGATTTTTATCAATAAAATCATTCACGAGGCAGAAGTTTGCAGTCCTAAAACCTTTTTTGCAGTGTTTTAATCAGCTGGTTAAAAACTGTGTTATGGCGCATCTGTTTCGAAATCCTTTATAACCTTGTGTTTGTTCCCGCGTTTGAGATGGGGGAGGATATTATATCGTTTTTATACATATTATTTGGTGACTTCTCAGGACAAGTGAGTTATTAACACATATTTTTACATGATTCGTATCTTACTCACGAGCCAGCAAGCCATGGCGGATAGGATCAAGATACCTATATAGGTATCTTATCTTATATAAGAAACAGGTAGATCCGATGTTTGAAAGTAAAGCCCCAGTCACAAATTTGACGCACCTGTGACATTTCCTGACACCCACGTAACTATTGTATTAACTTTTGTGTTTTGCGATGTTTTGACCTTATTTAAAGTACTGAAAGCTCAAAATGTATGAATAATGTTGTTTAAAGCAGCATTTTAATAATTATGTTTGTAAATTATCGATAAGCTGCTTATAGCAGGTCACGTGATTGCTACCAGATTATGTGCTCAGAAAGCATCTTTTCAACTTCGATTTTGAACAATTTTTACCTCCTTTGAGGCCAAATGATGGACGGTTTGAGGCACACGATGAAATGCTGAATCTATTGATGCCAAAATTTGTTCGTTTTTTGCATTTTTAGACTAGTATATCCTGGCTCAAACTTTGACCAATTTGTGTGTAAACCCTATGGTGAAGGGAAAACTTCACGCCCAGCAGGCGTCCTTACAGTGCTACCAAATCGTGTTTGGTGGGGGTCGGATAGGATGGCCTTGGCGGATAGGAAAAAGCTGATGTTGATCTCGCTTCCTCAGTTAGGAACATCGCCGAATCTGTAGTTTTTTATATTGTGATTTGTGACTATCTATAGTTCATTATTTGGTTGGTACCTGCAACATTTTAGGAGAATGTGGAAAATAAAAATTAAGAACGCTTGTGGTAAATGTGATTGCTGCTCACTGTGCAATCTTCAGAAACACATTTCAGTAATTTAAGTTCTTTTTGTCCTTGCTATTTTGATGAATGTGTTAATGCTTTTTGTAGGCAATACTTTTTTGATTACAGGTGATATTTTAACAGCTGTAGACTGGAATTGAGTTTCAAAATTGTGGTGTTTGTGGGGCGAACTCAGCCAACATCAGGCTGCTGGTAGTTTTGGTTGAACAATGGGTGGCTGCTGGGTGGGGCAGCTACTGAAATTGCCAAAATGTGGCATCTCATGTAGCGGTAAGCCAGAATCAAGAATGCAGGTTTTTTGGTATGCCGGTAGTTTGGCGGTTTTTTTTGCTTGGGGCGTGGTAGCATGCCGGTATCCCAGAAAATTTTTGTGGGGCGGGGCGGTGCCGGTAGCAGCCCATTGGGAAAACTTTGCAACTCTAATGGTAATAATTAACAAATAGGGTCGATTATTCCAACGCGACATAAAAAAGACGGGGGTACCTGTCTATTTTTTTCTGTTTTTCTACATATAATGGCACTCCATTAATGTCGCATTTGCCGTTGGTGAAACTCGTCGGCTATTTTCTGGCTGCTATTTTCTCACGCCGGCGGATATTTTCCGCCTGGTTGGTGAAACTCGTCCGCGGTTTTTTGACAGAAAAATTGCGCCAGGCGGCTATTTTTCTGTTGGTAAAACTGGCCTCTGACCTGTGACGTCATCGGTGACCCCGAGGTCAATGAAATTGGATTTCCCTAGACAAATTTGATAAGGCTTTCGATCGCCGATTGAATTTTGCGAGCCCGTCCAGTAGTTTCGGAGATACGAGGGGGGGGGGCAAAAAATAGCCCCCCCCCCACCAGTTCACGTTATAAACAGACCCCACCAGGGCGCGGGTTAAAGGCGTAGCCAGGAGCCTGCCACTAACAGGGTAAAGTTATCGCTAGTTTTTGACGGTCAACACCGGCAAATGGCACGAAATGGTTTTTGCCGGCAGAAATGCCAACCCTGGCCGGTGATTCGAAAGGAATACTTTAACTTTTTTATAAATTCAGCTCGAACCTTTTGAATGGAAGGATTCACAAGGACAGAGTCCCTGCCAAGCTGAGCTTGTTGCGTTGACCCTGCCCTCTAGCCTCTGATTGCGCAATTCCTGGTCTATGGCGGAGTGGGGATGGGTGGAGTTTGGAGTAGGCTGACGGGAGCAGCACAGCCCTGCTGTCCCGGCCGACTGACCTGTGCTGACGGCGTGGCGGCCGCGCAGGGCGGCGCGTAGGGCGCTGGCAGGCCGGGCGCCGCCCGGCAGGGAGGCCAGCGCGGCTGTGAACGGTGCCGGGTACTGGCGCTCCAGGGCGGCCAGCAGGGGCGCGCCGGCCGCCAGCAGGGGCGCCCACTCCGCCTCGGCCGCCCTCTCGGTGACCACGCTGGCCACGCACCTGGGCAGAAGAGCACAGGGGGTCAGCAGAGCTCAGAGCACAGGGGGTCAGCAGAGCTCAGAGGGCGGCTGAGCACCCCCCCCCCCCCCCCCACCGGCCCAGCCGAGAGTGCGGCTGTACGACTGTACTAGGTACTCACTAGAAGGTTTTTCGCGATTGCTCAGAAAGCGCTGGTAATAGACATGGATAACTAAGAAGTAACAAGTAATCCAAGTAATCCAAGTAAATAATCCATGTAATAGAGCTAAAATTTCGCAAAAATCAACTATGATTCCGAATGCACTGTCGAGGTTCGGGTTCGTGAGAATGTAAAATATTACCAAAAGATGTCATAAATACAAAATATCATAGCTATATTGTTGTTCGACGTTTCGATCTATCAGAGATCATTTTCAAGAAAATTACAGTCACACAGTTTTAGAAGTCATACTTTGAGATAAATGGGTTCAATTACATTTTTGGAACAAATATTACGGATATGATACTAAAACTATTCAGTCGATGAGTCACAGCATTCAAAACAAAATAACACACTTTTGTTTTCGTACATGAGCTATAACCCTAAACACATTCGTTCATCCTCCGCGAAGGAAGGTCACATCAAAAACACCATAGCGAGATACGTACGCGCATATGACAGATAACTCAGTCAACCCGCCGCGAGTACTTTGTCGTACAGTGATAGAGATGTGTTCTGCTTTGTCTGAATGTTGATGATTGGCTTTTTGTCGCGAATGTACACTGTTTCAAGTGTGACGAGCCGTCTACGATCCTGACAGTGTGCTAGGATGGATGTGTTGGTCACGAGATCGTCACGTGTGAGTGCGGTGTTGTGATGCTCTGTGTAGTGTTTCTTGGGGGCTCCGTCCTGCAGGTGCATTGTGAGACGTCTGCTCAGAGACGTTGTGGTGTGACCAATGTAGTATACTTCGCGGGTCGCGCAGTCCCCGGCTGTACATTTAAATTGGTATACTACATTGGTCTGCTTGAGTGTTGCCGTGCTGCGTGTGGGATTGTTTTGCATCACCAGTGAGGATGTCTTGGGGCTAGTGTAGTAGACCTGAACTACCAGTCGCTGTTCTCCATCTGTAGGTTGGCAGTTACGGCGAACAATACCGCGGATCACCTGCTCATCCGTCTTCCATGTTGGAGACATCGTGCTGCGGTAGTACACTTTTAGCTCGTCTTTCTTTGTCTTTGGCTCCTTGTTTGTCACATGGTTCTCAAGCATGTTTTTTACAGCGTCGTCAAACATGGAATTGCTGTACCCATTATCTACTAGGATCTTACGAACCCTCTCAAGTTCAGTGTGAAGTAGATCCCAAGTCGAGCAGTGTTTCATGGCCCGTCTAATGTACGCCCTTATGACACCTGATTTGTACGAGTCAGTGACGTCACCCTCCCCATTCATGCACCTGCCGAGGTCAGTTGGCTTCCGATACACATCTGTGACGAATTCACCACTGCTGCAATCAATCATGACGTCCAAAAATGGCAGCTTCTGTCCTACGCTATGGTCAACTGTGAAATTTAAAACTGATTCCTGGCCTAGTTTCATGCGCAGCAGGTCTAACTTTTCAGCATTTTCGACGTCAACAAAAATGTCATCTACATAACGATAGTACATGAACGGTTTGACATCATCACAGAGCAGCACTTTCCTTTCGACATAGGACATGTAGGCTTGGGCAAACAGAACGCCTAGTGGGGATCCCATTGCGACCCCGTCCACCTGTACATAGAGTTTGCCTTCAGGGCACCTGAACGGCGCCTCCGTTGTGCACGATAGCAGCAACTGCTCCAGGATGCGTTTGGGTAGTCTCGGTGGTGGAAGGGTCTCATGATTGTAGACATACTCAAGAATGATCTCAATAGTCTGCTGAACAGGTACATTAGTGAACAGACTCTCCACATCTAGAGAGGCTAGAGAACCTTTTGGTTTCTGGGACCTAAGAATGTCGACAAATTCATCGGTCGATTGAACAGAGTGCTCAGACGGAATATACGGCGAGATAATCGCATTCAGCTGTTTAGCTATCTGGTAAGTGGGAGTCGGGATCTGGGATATGATAGGGCGAATAGGCTGGCCAGCCTATTCGCCCTATCATATCCCAGATCCCGACTCCCACTTACCAGATAGCTAAACAGCTGAATGCGATTATCTCGCCGTATATTCCGTCTGAGCACTCTGTTCAATCGACCGATGAATTTGTCGACATTCTTAGGTCCCAGAAACCAAAAGGTTCTCTAGCCTCTCTAGATGTGGAGAGTCTGTTCACTAATGTACCTGTTCAGCAGACTATTGAGATCATTCTTGAGTATGTCTACAATCATGAGACCCTTCCACCACCGAGACTACCCAAACGCATCCTGGAGCAGTTGCTGCTATCGTGCACAACGGAGGCGCCGTTCAGGTGCCCTGAAGGCAAACTCTATGTACAGGTGGACGGGGTCGCAATGGGATCCCCACTAGGCGTTCTGTTTGCCCAAGCCTACATGTCCTATGTCGAAAGGAAAGTGCTGCTCTGTGATGATGTCAAACCGTTCATGTACTATCGTTATGTAGATGACATTTTTGTTGACGTCGAAAATGCTGAAAAGTTAGACCTGCTGCGCATGAAACTAGGCCAGGAATCAGTTTTAAATTTCACAGTTGACCATAGCGTAGGACAGAAGCTGCCATTTTTGGACGTCATGATTGATTGCAGCAGTGGTGAATTCGTCACAGATGTGTATCGGAAGCCAACTGACCTCGGCAGGTGCATGAATGGGGAGGGTGACGTCACTGACTCGTACAAATCAGGTGTCATAAGGGCGTACATTAGACGGGCCATGAAACACTGCTCGACTTGGGATCTACTTCACACTGAACTTGAGAGGGTTCGTAAGATCCTAGTAGATAATGGGTACAGCAATTCCATGTTTGACGACGCTGTAAAAAACATGCTTGAGAACCATGTGACAAACAAGGAGCCAAAGACAAAGAAAGACGAGCTAAAAGTGTACTACCGCAGCACGATGTCTCCAACATGGAAGACGGATGAGCAGGTGATCCGCGGTATTGTTCGCCGTAACTGCCAACCTACAGATGGAGAACAGCGACTGGTAGTTCAGGTCTACTACACTAGCCCCAAGACATCCTCACTGGTGATGCAAAACAATCCCACACGCAGCACGGCAACACTCAAGCAGACCAATGTAGTATACCAATTTAAATGTACAGCCGGGGACTGCGCGACCCGCGAAGTATACTACATTGGTCACACCACAACGTCTCTGAGCAGACGTCTCACAATGCACCTGCAGGACGGAGCCCCCAAGAAACACTACACAGAGCATCACAACACCGCACTCACACGTGACGATCTCGTGACCAACACATCCATCCTAGCACACTGTCAGGATCGTAGACGGCTCGTCACACTTGAAACAGTGTACATTCGCGACAAAAAGCCAATCATCAACATTCAGACAAAGCAGAACACATCTCTATCACTGTACGACAAAGTACTCGCGGCGGGTTGACTGAGTTATCTGTCATATGCGCGTACGTATCTCGCTATGGTGTTTTTGATGTGACCTTCCTTCGCGGAGGATGAACGAATGTGTTTAGGGTTATAGCTCATGTACGAAAACAAAAGTGTGTTATTTGTTTTGAATGCTGTGACTCATCGACTGAATAGTTTTAGTATCATATCCGTAATATTTGTTCCAAAAATGTAATTGAACCCATTTATCTCAAAGTATGACTTCTAAAACTGTGTGACTGTAATTTTCTTGAAAATGATCTCTGATAGATCGAAACGTCGAACAACAATATAGCTATGATATTTTGTATTTATGACATCTTTTGGTAATATTTTACATTCTCACGAACCCGAACCTCGACAGTGCATTCGCCGCCTCGAAAGTCTTAATAAGAAGAAGATAAGTGCCCATTATGCTGTTGTGTTTAACAAAACTTGCATAAAGAGAACCTGCTTCCGAACTATTCGAATATATATATATATATATATATATATATATATATATATATATATATATATATATATATATATATATATATATATATATATATATATATATATATATATATATATATATATATATATATATATATATATATATATATATATATATATATATATATATATATATATATATTAGGTCATTAGTAGCTACAATTTGTATATCTCGGAATTTCGATATCGGTGACCTAAGGTCAGGTCAATTTCTCGACCTCCCAAAAATAAGTCAATGGGGGAAAAAATCAACTGCCTGTTTTTACCACTAAAACGGGTCGGAATGGCCCCATATACCACACATGACTTCATATACGATCAACCTTCACTACCTTGAGGTCTGTTTTGCTGTTGGGCAGCTGTGAGGTCATGTGACGTCATCAAAGGTCACCAAAGGTTTTTGGCCAATAACTCCGTACAGGAACAAGATACAGACGCGTGGATGGTCTCATTGTGTTCAGCTCGTCAAGACGCATCGAATGATATACATGATGACCTCGAGGTCACGTGACCTGAGGTCAACCTTTGACCTTGACCTTTCGAGGTCAACATACATATCATTCGATGCGGATTGACGAGATGATCACGATGATGCCCTTAGTTTGTTCCTATCTTGACTAATTCGAAAGTTATTCGAGAAAAACTCTCTCCATATCTAGCGCCGCCATTTTGACTTTTTCGACCCCTGTGACGTCATCTTTGACCTGACCTGAAAATGACCTTAGTAAAAATTGTAGATCTTGGCCGTGCGTATCCGATGCCGTTTACCGCTTGTCGCTATCTTGCTTCGTTCTCGAGATCTCAGGGGGGGGGCGGTCATCCGCCCCCCCCCCCCCCCGTCGGTGCGAAGTTGGCGCAGACCCCCGTCGGCAGGGGTGTCGATTTTTCAAAATGGTTGGGGGTGCTCAACCCCTGCACCGGGTGAAAGATTGCAGCTTTGCCATGGGGCACAACCGTACATACAAGGCATGGTTGGGT